GGCTGCCCCTTGCTTCCCCATGGGCTCTGCAGCCCCTTTGCAGCCCCTTGCCTCGGGTGGCTCTTTGCAGGCCTCCCAGGGATGGAGGCTGGGCTTGGAGCTGGCTCCATCCCTGGAGCTCTTGGCTCCTGGCTCTGGGGAGCACTAAGGCTAAAATGTACCTGCTGAGGGGCTGTGTTCCCCCGGCTGCGCCTATGGGGCTTTTCCAGCTCCCTGGGAAAGCACAGAGTTGTGTGCTGTGTCTCTGCTGTTTTCCCCCATCTATGGGTGGGGGGTGTCTTGGCTTTTTGAGGCCAAAGGCGACATCTTATGGTGTCATGCTGCATCTGCTATACCTTGGGGGAGAGCCGCAAGGCTTCAAATCCTTCCCTAAAGGCTTCTTCCGAGCCCTGAGATGACTTCTTGGTAACATGATGGGTGTCTGATTTGTGATCGAGCATCTTCAGGTCTGAAAGCTCTTCTCTGCTTGTTGTCTGGTAAAGATCAAAGCTGCGTGAGGGGGTCCACAGGAGGTGGCTCTCCCACCCAGCCACGCAGGGACAGCATGTGATGTGCACCCTGGACAACACCGCTGACTTGTGTTGACATTGGGGGAAGCGGTATGTGCCTCAGGAGGCGGACGGATCAGTTGGGCATTCCCTTCCTGTTGACAGCGCTGCCTGTAGCTATTTCACATGATCATTTGGCGTAGGCATGATAATAGCGTTAACAAAGGGGGTGGCTTGAGTAACAAGGTAACTTCTTTCTTACTCAAGAGCATTGTGTCTCTGCAGATGGAGGCTGCAGCCATGCATGGCTTTGCCAGCTTACTGGAGGGAGCACTTGGCAAACCAGCTTAGTGTTTCTCAAGACTAACAGGGTTCCTAAATGTGGTCGTGACTACCTGAAACTGTATGGCTGTGAAGGACTTCAATTACTAAAGCTGGTTCTGCTGAAACTTCCAGATGAAAATGTGTGTTAAAGAGCAAGCAGCTGCTTGCTCTGCGAGTTACAACTTCTGTCTGAAACTGAGAGGTCTGTCCTCATGGAAAAATTGGTAAACGGAAAGTACTAGAAAGCTGAGAAGCTGTTTTAATTAAACTCCCTCCCCTCTTTCCTAAAATATCTCCAAATTCTAGTAGCTTGGATAGCTTATACACTCACCGTCCCAAGGAGTTACTGACCTAGGAATGGCCACTGGCTGTGGGGCT